CCAGCCAGTGGGGACTGCTTTGGTCCAATTCCCTGCTGCACCTCTGCCTCCCTTGCCCCTCCCTCTGCGGAGTCGGTGCTGGGGGGAGCGGCTTTTAAGCCACTTCCTCCCCCCGCCCCCCGATGCCTCTGATAGAAGCAGCAAGGTGGGGGGAGTGACTAGTCGAGCCTACGCTTATTGGGTAGTCGACTCGTCACTTACATCCCTGATTTAACCCGTTAACTGGTGCAAGGGGATTTTGCAGCTCTCTCCTGAAGCTATCGTCCAGATGACTCCAGCAGCAATGGTGCTCCTCGAAAGGCCGGCTGACTGTGGGGAGCTACCTTCTGGGCCCTCTTCTCCCGTTTGCTGGTGACGGATGCAAAGGGTGGGTGTGGCGCGGAGATTGCAGCTCATCCCGGTGCACTCACTAGTGCCGAGACTGGCGCACGAGCGGCGGAAGAGGGGATGCCTTGAGGATTGCGTGATGGCCACTTGTAAGCAAGAGCCTTAGAGGGGACTGTGGCGGAACCGCACTTCGTGCCTCTTCCTCTCCTTCTGATCTTGGAGGTTCGGAGTGATTGTTGTGGCCAGTCACGGATCCCCGGTCGTCCTCTCAAAAGACTAGAAGCGGCTAGAAACGCAGAGTCTCGCTTTCAAAGACAGGTCGCTCCTGCCTGGGAGAAGGCACCGCCTCCCGCCCAAAGGGAGCGGGCTGGTGGCAGCGGCCCTGTGCCAAGACGCCAGCTCGTCGGCAGTTGGCTGGACAAGTCACCGCAGAGAGCAAGTCGAGAGTGGATCTAGCTGGCCGCGGGGAGACGGGCCTTTGTATGAAGCCAGGCAAGGCGAGCGGGGGAGGCTCGCTGCAGGCGTGCGGTGATGCGCCACTGACTATTGCTGTAGCATGTGGAGTCGTTCCCGTCGGACTCCCCTTGGATGTTGCGTTACGGGTGCGGTGCAGGCCGGATCTGCTTGAGCAGGGGTGGCCGGTGAACTTTGGCAAACAGCCTCCCGGCATGTAATGCCTTGTCCTGCTGCCGAGGGGTTTTCTGCCTATGTAAGAGGTTGGAATATTCAGCCCTCCTGCTAGTTCTGCCTAATACCTTCCAGCGCCCTAGGAAGACGCCCCAAGTATCGCAGTGGTGCTCAATCTTCTTTCATTCACCGGGAAGATTTTTGTTGAAGGGGGGAGAAAAAAAAACCTGCTGGGAACATTATTGTGGCCCCTTTAATTTAAAGCGCTGGTCCGCTCCCCTGCCACTTCCGCGTACGTCAGGCGCCGGGAGTCCATGTACGTCAGGCGCCGAGCCGGGAAAACAAATTGCTGGCCAGCCCAGATCCAAGTGCTGCCACTCCACCCAGGAAGACAGGTTGCTCACCGCTGAAGTATTGTACCCAAACAAACGCACGTGCCCATCCCAGGTCCTGTACAGGTGTAGTCAGAGCCCTGGGATCTAATCGAGCTGTCCTGATGTCTGAATTCCGTACCAGCTGGTTCCCTCCCCTGGCTGGAGAGTGGGAGGAGCCGTCTGCGTGGCTGCAGGTGAACTCGCCCAGCAGAGCCTATTCGGAAGGGCACCGCTGAAGTATTGTACCCAAACAAACGCACGTGCCCATCCCAGGTCCTGTACAGGTGTAGTCAGAGCCCTGGGATCTAATCGAGCTGTCCTGATGTCTGAATTCCGTACCAGCTGGTTCCCTCCCCTGGCTGGAGAGTGGGAGGAGCCGTCTGCGTGGCTGCAGGTGAACTCGCCCAGCAGAGCCTATTCGGAAGGGATCGGGTGCCTTCAGGAAAATGGGGACGAGCCAATTGGTTCGTGTCAATGAGGAATTCCGCAGCTGGGAATGAGACAGCAGGCCCCACCCGCTGATTGCTTCCTGGTTGGCTAGTTAGCCCAGGACAGTGATTAAGCTGATATCGGAGTAATTAAACCAGGGTGAGACGTGCAGCAGCATGGCTGTTAAACAGCCGCGCGCCTGCAGTACTTCGCTCACGTAATTGGTCTGCGGAAACCCATCAAAACGGAGAACCCAAACGGAAGGGAAGAGCGCTGAACAGCTGGTGCATGAAATAAAAATAAAGTGTTTGCTGCTGACGGCTGGTAATAAACCAAATCTTCAGCTCCCAGTGGGAAAACCAGGGGAGGCAGTTGGAGAGGCGGGAGCATACAATTTTGGGAGCCGGGGGAAACATAAAATAGCAGATGGCTAACGTCAGTGTATGTGTGGTAGGGGGTAAGCTGCTAATCCGCTGCGGCTTGTCACTCGGGGGACAAAAAGGAAGGACTAAATGCATCTGCAGTACATCCTGCTCTCGGCCGAAAGGCAAAAGTTGCGTCCTGACCTGGCAGGTTGATCTGGGAATACTCTGTGGAGTGATGTCTTAGCTGTCATAGCCAAATATAAATCCCCGAGTGTGTTGCAGTCTTTTGTGCCTCTCTTTGCAGGTAGGGAAATTAATAACCATTTTAGAGAGGGCGTGCGGACTAAGTGACTTGCCCAAGGTTGCACAGGAAGTCTGTAGCAGAGCAAGGAATTGAATCAGGGTCTTCTGGCCAACCACTGTGCCATTCCCCTGAGGAGGAGTCAGAGAGGCAGCCTCTAGTTAAAAAGGGTATGTAATTCCCTCTATATTTCAGCTGGGAGGACCCCTGTGTAGACTCGTGAAATTCTATAGCCCTTGATGTAGGAGATTGGTGAATGTTGCCCTCCATTCACCCCTTGTGATTGTGCAGTGTCTTGTCAGGGACAATGAATTGCCTTGTTTGGGGGACTTGGGAAAGCTGGATTGAATTCCTACTGCTCATGCTGAACTTGGGCACGTCAGTTTCCTTTGTGGCGCTGTTCCCTGCCTCGACAGCGGGTGATGCTTCCTCTCTGAGGGAGTGTGTGCTGAGGACTGTGAATGCCCCTCGCTGCTTGTGAGTCGCTTGCGGGTGTCCTCTGCTGGCCATCCCAACCCATGGGTCTGAGTTCTCTGCTGGCAAAACAGCCTAGTAGTTAAAGCAGAGAACCCTCCTAGTCCAGCCACTTACTTGCTTTGTGACCTTGGGCATGTCACTTAGCCTTCCTGGTGTACCCCACTTACAGAATGGAGACCTACATCCCAGAGGGGCGGGGTGCAAACGGGTGGCTGCCAAGCACGGAGACCCTTGGATGGAAGGTGCCGAGGCAGCTCGGGTCTAGCTCCAAGGAGCCTGAATTCCAGACCGTAGCTTCACACTCAGTGACCCTTCTGGCTTGCTGAGGTCACAGCTCCTGTCCCCTCCTTCCTCCCGTGGGCTGCAGCACAGCGCGGGGCTGAGGGCCGTGCATGGCACTGACTCCGTCCTGCCGGAGGACCACCACTGGCGCTCCAGTTCAGTGCTCTCTGGTCGCTGTCTTGCGGGGCGGGATGGAAGATACATGCATCGCCCGTGCATGGCTGCTGTGCCCTGCCGCTCTCCCCTTGATACGGTGGCCGACGCCAGGGCAGATCCCAGCCCCGGTCCCAGGAGAAATGTGGCAGTATCGTGTCCAGGGCCTCCTCCAGTGTGAGGTGATGAGGTGTCGCTTGGTCCGAGATCTAAAGCCCCTGCTGGCATACAGACCCGGTGCCCCAACCTGCCCTTCGTCGGGCAAGGGCATTGACTTCATCCATAGCCTTTCCGCTGAGCTTCTGTGCGGGGCTGCGTAAGAATCCCGATCCCCTGCGTGGGGGGGTGAGTCTCTCACTGCTGCACTGGGCCCAGCAGCCGCCAGCAAATCGGGACTTGCTGAGTCTGGTCTGCGGTGCTTTGTGACCGTGCCCTTGTGGGGCTGGGATTTCCGGGGCCCTGTTTAGTTGCGCAGGAGTTGGCGTCAGTGCAGTGCCTTTGGAACAAGGGGGGCAGCTGGCTGGTTGTTCCCGAGCCGTCCTTTGACTGGCTTTGGGTAAACTCCCACCTGCCTCCCAAGCTGCCTCGTTATTTACAACTTGAATTGTCCTTGGATTCTAAGTCGGGCAGCCAACCTGCTTTTGCGCTTCCCCCTCGCTTCCTGAGCATCCTTTAGTCTCGTCCTCCTCGAACTCCCCGCTCCGTCCTGTTGGAGAAAGTACTAGTTGTGCTGAAAGGGCCGCTTGGAACATCTGCCCCAGAGCCGCCACGAGGAGGCTGGCAGTGAGGAGATGCTAAGTGGACACGTGGGATCGGAGTCTGTGCGTAGGCTCTTCCCAACAGCACCTTCCAGGCCATATTGTGACACAACGGCTAGTATCTACACGACAGCCGATGTTGGTGAAATGTCACTCGTGGTGTGACTGTTGCACCTCCTGAGCCATGTAAGTTTCACTGACAGCGCAGTGCGCACGTGTGTGTGTGTGTGTGTGTGTGTGTGTTAGCCAGAGAACTACTGCTGCTTGTGGAGGTGGGTGAGGTCTGTGCATAGGGTGGGGGGGGTGTGTGTGTGTGTGAGAGAGAGAGAGAGAGAGAGAGAGAGAGCGCGCTGTGTGTGTGTGTGTGTGAGAGAGAGAGAGAGAGAGAGAGAGGTGTG